TGTCCTAAAACTGGAAAATCCCCCCTTTTTTAATGAATAAAACCCCAAAACTTGGAAACAGTAAATTCGAAATTTATATAAAACGAAAGGGAGCTCACGTCAATAGATATGAACAATTCACAAAAGTTTCATGCAAATTGGGGAAATTGTTTTTGAGTTATTGTCCGAAAACTGGAAAATCCCCCCTTTTTTAATGAATAAAACCCCAAAACTCGGAAATGGTAAATCTGAAATTTATAAAAAACGAAAGGGAGCTCACGTCAATAGATATAAACAATCAACCAAAGTTTCATGCATATTGGTTAAAGCATTTTTGAATTAATGTCCGACATGTTGACTGTGGACGGACGGCAAAAATGGACACAATATTCAAGCTTGATCATGTTGATACAGGTCTGAATTGGGATTGTAATTACATATTTGACATATAATAGGTTTACGAATAAATTTAGTCAAAGAACTTGAAATTGGTTATATGAATTGAATTTATATTCAATTAAAGATTTCTTGCTGTTGTGCAATACACTGTGCTGTTGCGCAATACTTAGTAAATCTGTTGTCAGACTATAAACAAATAAAGTTCAATTTCTTCTCAATGTCATATTTGAAATTTATGAAAATCAGTAGGGAGATTACATCAATAGCTTTAAATAATTCACCAAAGTTTCATGAGAACTGCTGAAAGCATTTTTGAGTTATTGTCCAAAAACTGGAAAATCCCCCCCCTTTTAAATGAATAAAACCCCACAACTCAGAAATGTAAAATCTAAAATTTATAAAATTCTAAAGGGAGCTTACATCAACAGATACTAACAATTCACCAAAGTTTCATGAGAACTGCTTAAAGCATTTTTTAGTTATTGTCCAAAAACTCGAAAATCCCCCTTTTTTTATGAATAAAACCCTGTAACTTGGAAACGTTAAATCTTAAATTTATAAAAATCCAAAAGGGAGCTCATGTTAATAGATATAAAAAATTCACCAAAATATCTTGCAAGTTGGTAAAAACTGGAAAATCCCCCCTTTTTTAATGAATAAAACCCCAAAACTCGGAAACGGTTAATCTGAAATTTATATAAAATGAAAGGGAGCTCACGTCAATAGATATAAACAATTCACCAAAGTTTCATGCATATTGGTTAAAGTTTTTTTTAGTTAATGTCTGACATGTTGACGACGGACGGACGGACAGACGGACAGACGGACAGACAGACTGTCAATGGTATACCATAATACGTTCTGTAAACGGGCATATAATTAATGGTTGTTTTGGAGCATTAATGGGCTTGGTTCTTACATTCGTTTTATTTAGAATAAATTTTAATGACTATTGATTGTAATTTAGAATGCTGATATGGTATAATTATGATGTCTTTGATCTCACTTATTTTTGCAATATTGTCTTTCAATGTCTTTGTTGGATTAATAATGAAAGTAACATTTTTTTAGAAATAAACTAGTCAGCTTGGAATGAATAAAAACAACGATGTAAAAATTGTAAGATATAAAAAGGATTTTCTTTTCGCACAGAGCTTGGCTTCTTTGATCTCAAGTTCGTTTTTGACACATTTCCTATATATTAGTCAAGGATATAACTCTATAGGGTTATAAGAGAGAAATAACATACATTTGTTATTGTGGACTAAAAAATCAAAGAACTGTGATGACATATGTATGTTACATGTTTGAAACGGACAATATACATCATTAGTTTTGTTAAAATGTATACAAGTTCTATTGATATTACTATTGTCTTTATGTATAGATCTTACAGTTCATAGTTTGCCAATTATGCATAGTACACATATGTTATTACAGAACAAATATACACTCCAAAGCATTTGCTCAGACATACATCAAGCTTAATTACAATGTATTTTAATTTATTGTAAGAAATAATGATCAGAGCATGTAATGTTCTGTGCAAGCTTCCCAGTAATTCCCAAGTGTCTCATATAATAAGTTACATGCCTTTAATAACTAAGCCTTGTTATTATAGCTAGAAGTTTAATCCCTTTTAAAAAGCCTTGTCTCATTGCAATTGATTTACCATGGTTAATGAAAAATGTACTAACTTAATTCAAAAATTAGTTATCAAGGCTATGCATTTAGTTTCTGCGCTAAGTTTTAAGAGTTCCCTAGAGCCCACTAAAAATTAAAATATGATTTATTTTACAAATAACAAACATATGTTATCACAGATTTAGAAAATTTAAGGATTGAAGAGTAGACAACTCATGAAAGTATCTGTAATAACACATGCAAAATATTTTCTGTAATAACCCTATAAGAGTTATATCCCTGACTGTATATACATGATATATGTGCTCTTTAAAATAATCGTGTACAAATTCAAGGACATAACTGGTGTGTGATGCGAAGTTTGAATTGGATCTTGTTTTAACTGTTAATGATTGTTTTGAAATTGTTCAAATTTATTAATAAAGATAAATACATGCAGATAACATGATCTTCATTTGTTTTATATTAAAATCCTTGTAATCTGGATACTCTTTACAGTGCAGATCAATAGAAAAAATATTTGGTAGCAGCAATACAACACAAATATTCGGCAAAGTTTTCAACAAACTTGAACATACTCTTTTCAAATAATAGTTATTACTAAGCATTATCATGATTATACAGGTTATACAAGATAACCATGACAACAAAATAAAATAAAAATCAGAGTGAACGACCCAGGGCGAACAGGTATAAGGGTAAATGGACACGGATTCCCAGTGGACGTGGTTGTGCCCAACCTACATGTATTAAAATATAACCGAAAGTATTGACTATTGTGGTAGGAGAAGCTACCATGCGAGAACAACACTGTTTATTACCGATTTAAATATTCTGAATCAATGTAAAGATGATATATGCAAATAAGAAAATCGTGTTTTTTACATGTTTACATTGTATTTCATGTGTCACTGGAATACAGTTTGACAGGTACCGGTCGAGCCAAGTGGTAGTGACATCACTACCACGAGAGGTGGCGGTGAGCAACATATTGTAGTACAGACACTCCATCTAAGTTAATGAGGTAACCACTTACATAAACAATAACAAAAAAAATCATTTCTTGCTTCGTGTTATCTAGTTTTCATGATCAGAATCAATAAGCGTGTTTCAACAAATTGTCAGGGGAGATAATCTAAATATTATTAAATAATTATTAGACAATGACGGATAATTGATTTCCGGATTTTGTTTTAACGGTTCATAGATTCTAGTCTTCTGTCAGTCTGTTGAAATGATATACAGGAGATATAGAAACGCTAAAGACAGTTAACCTTCCGTATTCTTATTGCTTACCAAAAAATTTACCGATCATTAAATATCTAATATTTTATAATGCATTTGATATTATACAATTTTTGATATTGATAGTAACATTTTTTTTAAAATAAAATTGAGAATGGAAATGGGGAATGTGTCAAAGAGACAACAACCTGACCATATAGCAGACAACAGCCGAAGGCCACTAATGGGTCTTCAATGCAGCGAGAAACTCCCGCACCCGGAGGCGTCGTTCAGCTGGCCCCTAAACAGATATGTATACTAGTTCAGTGATAATGGACGTCATACTAAACTCCAAATTATACACAAGAAACTAAAATTAAAAATGATACCAGACTAACAAAGGCCAGAGGCTCCTGACTTGGGACAGGCGCAAAAATGCGGCGGGGTTAAACATGTTTTTTGAGATCTCAACCCTCCCCCTATACCTCTAGCCAATGTAGAAACAACAAACGTACAACAGTACGCACAGTAAAACTCAGTTTAAGAGAAGTCCGAGTCCGATGTCAGAATAGGAAACAAAAGAAAATAAACAAAATGACAATAATACATAACTAACAACAGACTACTAGCAGTTACTGACATGCCAGCTCCAGACCTCAATTAACGTGACTGATTGAAAGATTATGTCGTCATCATATGAATATCAGGCACAAACTTGTGTCATGCCAACAACTGGTTTTAGAATAGATATGTTTAATTCCGATGCAAAGACCCTATAAGTGAATCAATATTAACGCCAAAATATGCAATCTTTAATGACCTGACAACAGTATCGTAACTATATCCCTTCTTAATAAGTCTGTTTAAAGGTTTTGTTAGCTTTTGTGGTGAATACTGACATTTTTGTGCTTTGTAAAGAATATTACCATAAAAGATTGGATGTGAAATACCCGAACGTATAAGATGTCTGTATGTTGAGTTATATTTACGAATGACCCAGCAAACACACAACATTTTAAAAACATTTTTTAAATGTCATATGGACGTCTCTCACAAAATATTTCAATAAGATATCATTTAAACATAAAAAAAATGTTTATTTTATTGTTTTTGAAATGTTTTATTTCTAACATTTAAGTAAAATGTGTTTACAACATTAACAAAATATTATTTGCTAATATCTTTTATTCATGTTCTCAAACATTGTTCTAAAATATCCCGTAGATATTTTATAATATAAAAAAATAATATTTTCTTCAATTGGTATTTTATATTTTAACAACATTTAAATTAAATATTTTCCAAATATCCAAAAAACATTCTGCAAAATAATGTTTTACAGAAAATATAGTTTTGCTATTTGCATAAAATGTTTTATAACGTAAATTAAAATGTTTTACATAAAACATCTGAAAAATATCAGCTAAATGTTTTCTATAAAATATTCTGACATACACATTACTTAATAGTCTTACTGATATTTTATTCAACATTTTACGGATATAAAAATAACATTTTATTTAAACTTTATTCAAAACCCCACACACAACGTTTTGTGGAATTAGCTCGTTTTTTTCAGGATAAGATATAGTACTACATTTCATCAATATCATGACAAGCAAGATACTATGGTTGAAATCCTTAATTGATATCTTGAAGATCCTTGAAGTCAGATTTTATTCCTTCTTATATTACAATTCAAAAGAGTCAACATTAAATTAAGCAATAATGTATTAATGAACAATCACCTTTCTTTAATGTTTATTCATTTCGTTCGTGTATATTTTAGAAATTAAGAAATGAAAACTGTAACTGTACTAAGTTCAATTTTCGTATCGTTTATATGCCTTACGGAAAACCGACCTTTTCCGGAATCGACTTTTGTTTTATCACCGGAAATGATTTTGAAATTTGAATTTCGAAACGATATCAACAAAGAGAGCCAAGAAAATTGTTTGTTACGCGATATATACTCACTTGGTAAGAATGATTAATCTGTTAAGATGAACTTGTGCATTCATTGTGTGTGATCAATCATAGATCGGAACCAAATTACATCTGTTTCTGGAGGTGCGGATCAAGGTTTTGAAAAAAGGGGGGCCCCTGCCCAAGGCAAGCAAACGTTTGGAGTGATACTTGTAAGTAGCTCCATAGGGGGGTCGGGGCCCCTAAATCCGCCACTGTTCAAGCATCTACGTACACCAATTATGAATTTGTTCATTGATTTAAAAAAATTATAAGGATATGTCAGTATGTGGCTTGTGTGTTTGATTGCCAATACACCTTATTGCTATTTGTCCGCCATTACTGGCCATAGACATCACAAAAGTTCCCGTAAAATGTTGACGTCATATTAGAAAATATTTGACACCACAATTGAAAGTAATGCACCTTATCGCTATTTGTCCGCCATTACTGGACATCACACAACTGTCACAAGTTCCCTTAAAATTTTGACGTCATCATAAAAAATATCTGATGCCACAATGGAAAAGTGATTGTTGTTTGATGTCAAAAGTTCAAGCAGGATAGATTCTCGGGTCAAGTGGGAATAGCGATAAGGTGTATTATTGTATGACGTATGCTGATGTAAAAAGTTCAAGCGGGACAGATTTCCAAATACTGAAATAGTGATAAGGTGTATGAGACAGCTATCCACCAGAATTTAAATGGCTTGGATAAAAGAAATTATAGGTCACTGTACAGCTTTCAAAACTGAGAAAACCAATGCCATATAGTCCACTTTGAAGCCTTGACAAACAAATGTTAACTTTTTCTCAACACAATTGAAACAAAACAACTAACTGCCTACATTAAATACACATTATGAAAAAGAAATTTGACAGACTTAAACCAACAACAACTATTGCAATAAGCATGACTCAATACCTTGTTTCCGAGGCACTCAAACAAGTTACAATAACACTAATATAAGCACCATTTGAATATGGAGATTTTTTTTTCTAGTAAAATCAGTGTATATATGTTTTTGCAAAACAGTAAATTAAATTTCCCTTAACAGCTTAATAAACATTACAAAGACTATGTTAGACTTCAGTACAAGCAAGATAATATAAACTGTTGCTTAAAATTATATTTATTGCTTCATACACACAATGTACATACAATGTATCTTTTATTTTTTAACAGGAGCTAAAAGAAAAGCCACAAAGGACAAGTTCAATATGCAGGTTTACAATTTGGAAGTGGCGCAGGTTCTTTGGAATGTCTACAACCTTTCAGGAGAATTTTTTTTTGAAGTAAGATTTTCATACAGAATTACTGTTATTCCATATTTAATTCAAATATTTAGCATAAACAATGCATTACATTCAAGATTAAGGGCATACAATACAGAAAAGATATCTGGATATATTTGAATAAATTATTTTTTTTGTGACAAAATAGAAACAAGTTGTTTATTTAAATCAATCTTTTAGTCCAACAGTGTGCTTTCATAAACAACATATTTGCTTTCCTTTGAAGTATTTCAAATACATATAAACAACTCATTTAATGACATCTGTGTGTTTCTCGGAAGTTAAGTTATATTATTATCATCATTGTGAAAACAATGCGTAACACTTCGATAAGTTATTATGTGCCTATAGTATACTTCTAGGACTGTATCATATGCCCTTAGATACAAATGACAAGTTATAAACTATGTCACTCTACAGAGTTTAACACTTAAAAAGGACAATAAGATGTTTAATGACATTATGTAGCAGGGCTTTTAAAGGCCCCTACATGATACAATGCATTTAATGAAAACTAAAAGAAAACAAGAAAAACAACAGCCTGATTTATACAAAACAATAAAAGAAAAAAAATATGATGGACAACAATCAACGAGTATAATGAAATAAGACTCTTGACTGGACACATATCTAGTCTAAAGTTTTTTATGTGTTTTTTTTTTAATAACCAAATGAAGTTCAGCGTGGCATATTGCTCTCTCTTAACACGGTCAGCCATTTATCGTCCCCTTCCGACAGACTATCATTGTTATTTGTTTCAAAACTTTAAAGGGGAGGGGATGTATATCCTTCAGTCAACGTGAATCGTTATATAATAAAGGAATGTGCAAGAAGTTTATATATGAATGTAAGATTAATTTTTTTTTCAGAAGCAGGGCACAGCAAGAAAAAGATATAAGACACTTCAAGACATTCCAAGTGATTTTGAATAAGACAATTGATTGACTTTTTCAATGTATTCTTAAATAAATCAAATAGTTGATGTAAAATGGTGTTTTGTTCTCATCTCTTCAGCCAATTATCAATGATTATTGACTTAAGATTTAACCCTATTAGAAGTGTAGCGTTTTACTTTAGAAAGAGAAGTTGTATTGAAAAATCTGAATTTGGGACACAAGTTTTAGTCAATGTAACTTGAACTTAAAAATGTGTATAATGTTTGCATAATGTCCAATGGCATATATGTCATGCATGTTCAGGTTGACATATGCATGATGTGTATAAGATAGGTAATAAAAGTTGAGAGTGAAAAACTAAATATTATACCATTGTGGTTGGAATGTGGGCTTTCTTGCACTGTCTGTCGTCTGTCCACCTATATTTGTCGGATTTTGTCCAACAAATATTTTCATCACTGTTTTTCCCAAAACTGCTGATCAAGATGAGTTCATATTTAATGAGCTGCTTGATAGTGATGAACTGTGATGTGTGAACATTTTTGTATCTGGCACCTGTTTCCTGTTTGCTTATACATTGTATTTCAAAATGTTGAATGTTCTCAAATTTTTCATTACTTTAATTAGTAATGCTGATGAACAGAATGACTTCATATTTGGTAAGTGGCTTGACCATGATGAGTTGTGTCTGCCATTTTGGATGTGTCAAAATTTGTAGATACTTCTAGTTTTTAGAGACTTTGAATTGTGAATTTCATATGCTTAGCAAAACAGTATTATTCTTGTTTTTATATAGAATTAATCACTGTGTATACCGGTAAATTAATTTAACTACTGATTTGTTACATTGTATTTAAAAAAGCAGGAAACTCAATCAAACGTACAGAAATTTTTATATTGATATGATCTAGATATCAACCAAAAACATCTTCTTAAAACATTTTGAAAACATTTTTTAGGCACAGTCTCACTTGCAAGAAAACATCCCAAAAACATTTTTATAACATTATTTGATGTTCATGATGTTTTTCAAACGTTCAGAAAATATTTCTAGAAAATATTTTTTAAAAGATTATCAAAATGTTTTATACGCCATTGTTTTTCACATTATCATGATATTTCTTTACAACATTTTAATTATATTATGCAAATATTTTAGAAAATATATTAGAAAACGTTTTAGCGATATATATTCTACCATACATTTAATGTTTTTCTCACGTTTTTTTGTGATATTTTCATGACATTAGACACAACATTTTAAAAACATTTTAAAGATGTTTTTGTGTTTGCTGGGGATGTCCTTATACCGATAATAAAATTTAGTAATTACTAAATGTTTTGACTAGTTTATGATATCGAAAACCCTGGTGTAATAATTTTTCAGTACTACATAAATTTCTCTCGCTAAAATTTAATACGTTGTTACATACACGAGCGAATCGTACACGTTGAGATATATATAAACACCATAAGATGGTGACAAGGGAACGTCACCATCTCAAAATGGATAATTAACGATAGGACTCTTGAAATGAAAAATCATCTCTTTTATCATAAATTTTTGTATTAAGCTCACCGTTAATGATATAGATATCAAGATCGAGGAAAGGGCAGTGGTCATTGTTAGTATTAGCTTTATTTAAAGTAAGTTCAACAGGATAAATTTCTTAGTATACATACTGAAGTCATCATTATTGAGAGCCAATATATCATCCAAATATCTAAAAGTATTGTTAAATTTTTGTATCAGATGTTGTTTCGATGGGTCTTTGCTGATTTTAGTCATAAATTGTAACTCATAACAATACAAAAACAGGTGGTGCACAGTTAGTCCCCATTGGAATTCCGATAACTTGACGATATACGGAATCTCCAAAGCGAACAAAAATGTTATCAAGTAAAAATTCAGGGGCAGATATAGTATCAAAGCATGTCCAATTAAGTTTAGTTTACTATAGATTTTTCTCTTATATATTTATAAAAACAACGATTTCATCAAGCAGTGTGACGGGTCTTTTGCCAATCTACATTTTGTCAGTGTCGAGAAAATGTTCACACAACAAAGTTTTGACATCAAAGTTACAATATCATATGAGGATGTCATGGATGTGGATAGGGAGTCCTTCATTTCTGTATTCTTTAATTTGTTAGCCCATTTTCTCTATTCTTAATAGTTTTGCCATTGATTCTCTATTCTTCATACTTTAACACCTTATTTTTCTCTATTCTTTATTTTTTTGGTCCATTTTTCTCTATTCTTTATCATTTTTTTTTATTCTGAATGTTTTGCCTATTATTTCAAATTCTGTAAACCCCATATCCTGACCTTCTCATATGAGTCCTAACAATACGTTTATATTACTAAATTTTGCGGGATTTTTGTTATTGTTTTTTGTTGTTGTTTATAAAGACCATTTTCGTGTTTTTATCTTATATGAGTCCCAACAAGACGTTTAGTTTACTAAATTTCAAGGGATTTTTGTTATTGTTTTTTGTTGTTGTTTAAAAAGTCCATTTTCGTGTTTTTGTTGTTTGAAACTTGATATCACTACAAACCAGTAAAAGTCTGAAATGGCCTATATCTGTACTCGACTGTACTGATTTTTACTCGACCAGTCTGAATGGGTCTGAAATTTACTTGATAATACTCGACTGTAGTCTGAACCATACTTAACAGTCTGAACTTGTACTCGACCAGTACTTAACCATTTTATACGTGTCTGAACCATGCTCGACCTAGTCTGAACCATACTCGACCTAGTCTGAATCATGCTCGACCTAGTCTGAACCATACTCGACCAAGTCTTAACCAACCTAGACCTATTTTTTGTATCTATCTATTGTATTTCATCAATTTAAGAACTGTTTTTAACAACAGCTATTTCCCCTGGCTAGAAATTTGAACAACAATTTGAAATTAAAAATTTATTCAATATAGCATTGAAACCAAAATTTCACAATAAACATAATATAACTTCAACACCATATTCATCAACACTTATATACATACATATATATCACCTTTAAAATAAAAATAAAACAAGCTGATCAAATAATCTCAAAACTGAATTGTGACTAATATTTTCAATGTTATTCAAAAATTTTTTAATGTTTCAGATATATTTTATGGTTACTGGACAATTTTCACCATTTACTTAAGCCTAGTCAAGGATTTGTATAGTGAGACAAGGATACAAATCCTTGGCCTAGTAGAGATTTATGGTGTCAGTTGAGTTTAGTTAATAATGCAGTGAACATTTTTTTATTAAAATATATATGAAATAGCATATAAAGCAACTTGATAAATTTAAAAAATGACACCTTTGTTTTGTTAAACCAAGAATTTAATATAATCATGATAATAGAACTTCCATAGTAATCCTGTGATAAACTTTTAAAAAAGGAAATGTGTTCCAAAGTTACAGTAAAAATTTATTTCAATTAAATTTAAATAATTTTTGTCAAAATTAAAGACATGGCATACAAGAAGCACTTTAATAAGGTTTAATTACCTCAGTACATGTATGTTTTACAGGTAAAAAGAAAGCCCTATTTTTCTTAAACTCGTGTATTACTTATCTAGTGAATTCAAAAGGCCTTGTGATTTAAGTTTCACAGGATGTTGCAATTTTGAATGAATGTTATTTAGAATTTAATACTCTCTGACCAGGTGTGATCTTTTTCACGAGTTTGCCCCAAGCAGGAGGTATTACTTTATACTTCACCACTAATCAGAAGAACAATTTTATTAATTTCTTTAATTTTTATCCCTTTTTGATATATATTGTATATAATATATCCCAAATTATAATAATAGATATATTTCTAAAATAAGGTAAAACAATTTCAGTGATTTTGTTGGCTGTTGTTACCTCATTAAAAAGATAATTATATAACTATTGTACATTTTTTGTATGTAACCATGAAACCTATGTAGTTTTTATTTAGGAATTTAGGAAAATTAATTTAAAAAAAAACACATGCCAAACAAGAAGCACCTTAATAAGGTTTAATTACCCTCAGTATAGGTGTGGTTTTTAGGTAAAAGAAAATCTTTTTTTAACAAAACTCTAAAAAGATAATTTGATTTAACTATCTCTATTTGATAAATCTGAGAATCATGTAAGAATGTAAAAATCTGTTTTTATAATATATCTTTATTTTATTGTGGCTGTTGTCATGTCAGTTAAAAAGAAATTTATTTTAACAGTTAAAATTTAGAAAAAGTAGAGGTTATTTGGTCAAGTATGGTTCAGACTGGTCGAGTATTGTTCAGACCTTTGGTCGAGTATGGTTTAGACTGAAAAAAATAGGTCAAGTACAGGTCGAGAATGGGTTAAGACAGTTTCAGACTGGTCGAGTAATAGTTCAGACTATTTTCAATGACAAAGATAAGGGTCAAGTACAAATCAGTACAGTCGAGTATGATTAAGACTGGGGTCGAGTAATGTCGAGTAAAATTCAGACCAATTCAGACTGGTCGAGTAAAAATCAGTACAGTCGAGTACAGATATAGGCCATTTCAGACTTTTACTGGTTTGTAGTGTATATTATCATAATATTTATTCCCGTAAATTTCCAAAAAGAAAGGTCTCTTCTTTATTCATTATTTTATTCTAAGCGTAATTTTGTATACATGTTTAATTGCGACTGTTGTCTTAATTATTTGTGAAATTTTAAGTTCCTATTTATCAAATAAAATCTTATATATCCGATTTTTAAAATATTCCGACTTACAAAGAACAAGGGAAACTATCCTCCTCAATCTTTCCAACGTGCATGATAAACAAAGTACAATCATGCATACTCTTGTATTCTTTTTCCAGTTTTGTCAAGTTACTAACGAAAGAAACGTTTCTTCACTGTATACAGTTTTTGTTCCATATACAGTTTTGTTTACCGTTGTGTTAATTAAAGATACCAAGAGGTTTTAGAAAAAATCGAGAAAAACAACAAATGGTAGCACCAGTCAAGTGAATAGACCATTCATAAATATCTTTTGTTGCTATGATGCTATCTCATTGAGGAAAACTCGCATCTGTTTTTACCGCCAAACGTGCACATGTCTTTTGGTTATATTTTGGTCGTTA